TTTGTATTTTATGACCGGATTCGAATTAAAAATCAATGTCAGATAAATCACAAATTCAAATAATCACGACTTAAATATTTAAATATTTACTTGTATATATACTAACATATATGTTATTACTCTAGGCAACTAATTTTATTAATGCTTAAATATTGTTATTTTGTATATTTTTAATATTGTTGGAGTCTTTTCGGATAATACAATGTTGTTGGTATTGTTGTTTATTCAAACGGTCTAAGAAGTAAATAAAAAATTACATCAACTTAATCATTTAATTGGATGATTCCAAAATAGGGTAATGAAATCGAGTACTCGTTTCGATTTAATATGCACGTCTGCCACGTGTTAAAAATGTCTACGACCATTAATGGGAACCACGAGCGTACTCACGAGAAAGTTCAGAGAGTTTCAACCCCGTCCCCCACCATTGGCCTTTTTGTATTTTTTGCAATCAATTCATATTAAATTTGTTAAAAAACATGGTTTCATCGTGTAATTTATATTCACAATTACTATAAAAATATATTAGTCCCTCAAAAAAAAAAAATAATTAACCCTAAAAAAACCTAAAAACGCCACAGCTTGGAATCAAAATACAGTATACCTATTACATATTATACTATAATTCTTGTTGGTACAGTCATTTATAGTATATTTTAGTAGGTGTATATAATGGTATAGTAATACTCAATTGCTAGCAATAATGAACAGTTAAAATGTTCGGGCCATAAGTAAAGATTTTGTTACGTTTTCGAGTTCCCGCTGCGGATCGTGTTGTCTCGTCGTTAATAGGTGCCCATACACGAGCGGATTTTATAACGGATTTGGTCTCTGACGGATTAAATCCTCTAAAAAGTCCTATCGTGTGTGGTGTTCTAAGGATTCAATCCGGCAGATTTAAAATCCAACGGATTTAGTCCAACGGTTCAAGTCTCTCGCTTTGCCACAGACTAAAAGACCAGGTCCGGCGGACCACGGACCTTGATAAGAAATTTTTGTTTTATTGATAACTGTTGTAGTCCGTCGCATAAATCCGCAGATCTTTCAGAACGTCTTGAAAGACCAAAGGACTAGGTCCTCAGCATAAAAATCAACGGATTTCCTCCACTAACCAGCGGACATGGTCCGCTGGTGGATTCGCTCCGCGAAAAATAGCGGACTTTTATTTTCACGTTAGTGGACACGTTAAAGGACCTAGTCCGACGGACCAAATCTTTCAAGGACCTAAGGATTTAGTCCGTCAGATCAAATCCGTTATAAAATCCGCTCGTGTATGGGCACCTATTAATGTTCCTTTAAACCGTACAGGACCGATAAGAACTACGGAATTTAATAGAGCTAACCTAGTGCGTTGTTATCGCCGAGAACGCCAACAACTCATTTCTCTATACCAAAGGTCCTATTCTTTTCCGACGGAAAAGCAAAAAATGAATATATATAAAATTTTCCAGATTTTAAAGAGCCACTAAATTTTTAATTTCAATGAAATAATATTAGCTTATAATTAAATAACACTTTAAATACGAAATAATATTTATTCAAATAACAATATTAGATTGTATTCTATATTTTTAGCATGAAACATATTTAAGCATTTAATGCTAATTTCTTCACCTCATTGTAGCATTCTGGAACACTATTCAATGTGTCGAATAAAAATGCCTCTACTCTTACCATTTCTTTTAGAGCTATCCACTTGTTTTACGCGGTGTGGATGCATTTCTGAACCTCCAATTCTTCCAATTTAATCATGAGTTCTGTGAACTTGCCAATCCACAAGTCTTTGCTTTTTAAATATAGCAATTGCATTTGAAACAAACCAGCATCAACTCCAAATAGTCCAATGTTGATTTCATGTATGTTTATGTTGAAAGGATTTACTATGAATGAGAGAGTACTTTTGAATAGTTTGAATCTCTTGGCGAATTCATCCTTTATTTGTTCTATAAATATGCCTTAGTAAATTACATCAATAATTTCATTGGTTTCATCACGATATTGCTTCTGATTTTTAAAATAAAGTAATTTACCGATCTCCGTGTCTTCACTAAACATAAGCTATTTTTTTTTACTAAAAAAATCACTTCTTCTGGCAACGCATAGACTGGGTTTATTTTCCTTGTGATTTTATATTTAACTCATTTAGTTTCATTATGATATCTACCATGTAGTTGCATTTTTGCAGCTATTTTTCTTCTCCCAATTCGAGATGGTCGATACCTTTTTCATTTAGGAATGTTTTTATTTCTTCCAATCATACAGCAAGAGGTTTCAATACGTTACATCTGGAAAACCATCGTATTTTATTGTGCAGAAGAATACTAACTCTTTATTTCTTCAAGGATATCTTTAAACTGGCAATGGTAGAGTGATTTTTCTAAAGTGCTGTTGATAATCTTAATTACCAAGTTCATGATTTTAATTATTTCGAACCGGAAATGTTTGGGGACAAAGCGCTTCTTGATGAATTATGCAGTGAAACTTAAGGCATATATTACATTACTATAATAAAAATTTTACAACGATAGCCAGTGCGGGTACTATATTTCCAAAAGCAACAAAAATAATATAAAATATTAATTTTGATTACAAAATAATTAATTTTTGCGTATGGAACTGGAGAGCCGCAACTTAAATTGAAAGAACCATATATGGCTCACGAGCTGCAGGTTGCCGACCCCTATCCTATAGCTATCGTTTTCAACACCAGTCGCCACCAACACGAACTCCTCACAATGACCATGAGTAATGCAAATGAAATTGTACGATAATATTGATCATTACGCGGCTGCTCAGTTTAAAAAAATAAAGTTTAATCGGGCTTATTTTCTGCAGTTGTCCCCCAAACGATGTATATAAATATATATGTACGTATACATATGTACATAAATAACATACAAAAACACACAATAGAACCGAAAGTGGGAAAGTGATTGAGAAAACCATTTAACCGGTGAAACGATTTTGAAAATTACTCATGACCGAATATAGAATAAATACTAATTTATAGGGTTGCCGACAAAATAAATAAATAATATATCCATTCAATAATGATAATATATTATATTATTTTTGCGCGATACAAAAACTCCGTGATGGTGTACAAGATATTTCCGTTGCTATTACTTACACAAATAGATATTGATCGAACCGAAAATATATAATTATTCTACATTTTTTCATAAGTTTGGCGACAATTAATATATAACAGGGATGAGCATCTCAAAGTAATAAGGGGGCCAATTTATAGAACTTTAAAATCTAGTGGGTCAGAATAAAGAAAGCAAAAAAAAAAAAATGTTATTTAAAATTGACAATTATCATTTGTTTTATATAATTTCATTTTACAACTGAACTAATACAATAAAATACTCAATACCTATATATATTTTAGTTGTGCAGCATAACTATAATATATTATCTACATTTTACGATCTATATAATAAAATAAAATATCGACAAGTGGTATAATTTTATAAAGTAAATAAAGTAATTTGAAAATATAGTAAGGGCCAAATTAAAAAAACCACGCGAGCCACTATTTGCCCACCTATGATCTATACCAAAAGTCTATTTAAATGAGTAATTAAAATGAAATTATAATCGCACATTATTTATTTTCTATCTTTTATATACTCTAGTGAAACATTCTAGTTTTAAACATAAACATACTGATATAAAACGATAATAAACTTATAATAACGATTTTTCGTTTAAACTGATCGCTTATTATCATTAAATTTGGAATTAATTATATGTATTTTGTATACATTATAAATATGCACGTATCTTCTTCACTACGAAATCACAGAACTTATACAAAGAAATCACTACATAAGATTATATAATATGTTTATTTATTTTTTCACGTCTAATCTCTAATTTAATACTTGGTAATTTCGATAAAACGATGAGTCAATTTTTATATTATAATTAGATTTTTATAATCAAAATATAATACACATAAGCTCCAATTATTTAAAACCAATATCATTTTTTGTAGAGCAAAAAATTATTGTTTTCTCTTGATTTTTTTTATTTTAATAATGTTGTTGGAAGCTGTGAAAAAGGTATAATTGGTGTGCACCAAATAATGCCAAATTATTCATATCCACTTTCCGATACCAACACCTCAGGTATGCGCTACTTAGAAATAGTTTAACTAGAAAATGAGTGAAAAATAATTGACGAATTGTTTTTGACGGTTTCTGAAGAATTAATATAGATATCAAAAAATATTCACCACAATGAATATCCTTTTTTTTCTTATTTAAATTAATTTATTCACCGAGTAAATTGTAAAATAAGGTAACATTTGAACAAATATAGGAATTACATATTTATATTGGATTTAATTATTATGCAAAAAAAATTTCAAATACGACCTACGTAGTAGGTACATACTACATAAAAATATTTAAAAAAAAAATGCTTAATAAGAACCAAGGTTATACTCGTATATTATAAAATTTGTTCAGAGATTTTGAACATCTTATAAAGTGTACACATAAACGATAAACCTAATACCATTATCGAAAATAATATAAATAGTTTATTTATTTAATTAAGCTTTTATCTTGCAATATTATAGCTGTTAGTTATTATAACTAATTATAATATTTTAACGATTGTCTTGCATCATTTAAAGGTATGGGGACAAAGACTCAAATTAACATTTTTAGTAAAAACATGGTAGGACGGAAGCCCCCCCCCCTTGACATTTCCTATTTCCTATTTATAGGGATAAAGATTTTGAAAACTGATTTGAACACGTCATTAAGTCCACCTACTCGAGAATGACTAACTCATATTTTTTTTTCATTTCTTCCCAACTGCTTTCACTACAAACCTAAATAGTCAAGACTACCGTGCACGAGTGTCACGTTCTCGGGTTCAGAAAAGCCCTCCCTTAACTATAAATCAACCGTCCCATACGTTCACGGTCATTTCCTGTTCACCAGCACCCACGAGGCCTGAACACGCACACATTCTTTGCTTACCCGAAAGAAACCGAGGGCTCTTGTACCAATAACCGTCGAACCATTGGGTCTCGACCAAAACAGCGGTCAAGTCGATGAACGTTCGCAGACCGTCCGGATGCGCTTTGGCATTGTACGAGAGCCCGTGCAGCGTTCCCAGCTTGCGGAGTGCCAGCAGCACATGTTCGACGTCCAAGAATATCCGTTTCTCGGGCATCCGGTAACCGGCGGGCGTTATGCTGGCCACCACGATCACCTGCTCGTCGTCACCGTCGCCGCCATCGTGTGTCACGTTCGAGTACACGAACCGCGGGAACAGCGCGAACGCCGCTTCCGGATCGGCAGCCCGGCGGGCCAGTTCGGGCAGCAGCCGCGAGTAGAACACGTACTCGTTATAGAACTTCTCGTGCATGTTCATCTTGGCCGACATAATGGGGTCGGTGTTCTTGAACTTGATCACCACCGGACAGGGTTCGGCGTCCCGCAGCTTCACCGTACCGAACACGATGTCCGAGGCGAAATGGTCGGCGGACACGACGTCGCTGTCCACCTCGAACGACTCGTACAAGGCGTCGGGCCCGAACGCCCCATTGGCCACGGCCCGGGGGAACACGTGCGTATTCAGGTACTCAACGCGCGTCATCATCGCGTAACGAAACGAAAACGGCGCGTAAGGTTTGAAGCCGTCACTACGACTGTGCTCTATGCACTGAACACTGCGCCGGTGAACCGGTCTCGCATCCGATCTACGAAGGAGGCGGCGGCGGTGGCGATCACGACCCTGGTTACGTAACCTCTACAATGCCGCAAAACGGGTATAATAATACGTTCCATTGGTTCCCAAATCAGCGTCTCAACATAAAAAAACCGTTTTAACACATCATACGTAATAATTTGCATGAACTACATCATGATTTGTTTATAAGAACTGTTTTTCAACGCAATATAAACATAAAGTATTACAATTATTATTAAAACTATTGTTATACTAATTTTGAGACTTTGAACAAATTGTTCGGTCTGTCGGTCCGTCGGGATTGCTCCTCGCTGAACAATTTCTCTGCGCCCGTAAGTGTTTATAGTATACGAAACCTTATAACACTACTCAGTAGCTATATTTCAGGCTTAGATTGGTTTTTTTTAACGAATTTGCGAACACGACAAGGACACACAAATTTAGTTACATTCACGTGCTTAAAACTTTCATACTTTCTTGTTGTCAAAACAATAATGGTTAATGAATTAATATAATTGAATAACATTTTTTTTTTAATTTTTTATTCAAAAATATTTCCATATTATAAGCCCTGATTAATAAGTTATGAAATTGTGAGATAGGTTCGTCTTTTTTCTTCTTAATGTGAGTAAGGAGCTGAAATTGTTTCCTGTTATGTGTACCTATTCCTATAAAATACAATACATTATCAACAATGATTTATCTTTATTGATTAGTTATCAAGTCCCCTAATACCCTCTCCTAAGGCTTTGGTGGATATTTATTGAGATTAAAATTTGAATTCTTTATCCGATACATATACAAACCATAAAAAGTTTAATAGTCTTGTTTTACTATCACTTACAATTATCGACCGATAGTCGAAGGAAAAGTGTTAAACATTAATTTGTTACAGTATTTTTACTTTGTTATAAATTAGTATATACTCGATATTGATAAATAACGCCATATCATACGTAAATATGAAAATGCTATAATCGCAATACGAGGCGACCGATATGAATTTTAAAAATCATCAAACTGACGGAAATTAATTGGAGCTTCCGATGTGACCGAGGTTACACGACCGACACGATCGGTTTTATCTGACGCTCTTAATCGTGTACGCTTTAGGAAACCAAAATAAGTTACTTTTTGATATACAAATGCTATTTTTGTGGATTATTCGACTTACCTATTATTATTTAATAGGTACCTATTATGATATTGTTTATTATTTAATAACGTGTTGTAGAATAAGCGAAGAAAAAAGTATAAAGGTAGGATTTTTAGTCTGAAGCATTTTGTTTTGTAGTTTCAAAAGTATGATTTGTAATTAATTTAGCAAACACTTTATAACTACATTTTAATTTAATTGCACAAAATAACTACTAGTCAACAAGAAAATAAATAAATATTAATAATAGTACATGCAGTGTAGTATGTATAGAGAGTATGCAATATCGGATAAAGAAATCGTATCAGATTGCACGCATCGTATTGCGATTGTCTGGGGTCCAAATAGGTTTCATTGTCATCTGTATCGAGTTTGAAACTCCCTAAAACGCGAAACCAAAATACGATGAGGTATTAGTGACCTAATTTTATGGGGGGGAGGTTGGTACTAAATTTACAAGCATTATATACTAATTATGTACAATATTTTTTATATATATATATATATACTTATGTTCTTGAATACATAACTATTGGTCCATTTTATACTTGGATCTTTTACATTGCATATCTTGAGAAAGGTAAATAAAATACAATACAACTAAAATTTAAAATTTAAATGTAATATTTTCTTAACATACATTTATAATATATACAAATAACTTGGAAAATGAAAAGGAAATTAATCCCTTCCATCCTCAAATACGCCACTGTGAGGTACAATTAGTTGCAAAAGACGAGTACACCTAATTTCAACTGCAGACGTCTCTATAATATAATAATTCACATAATTTTAGATTAAGAGAAGTTTTTGGTGTTTAACTTGTATATTGTCAGTGGCGTATTTATGGGGGATGAGGGAGTTTTCAGCCCCCCAGAAGATTTCCAGACCTTAAATTTTGAAATTTTGATCTATTTGAGTTCGTTAATCTTGTAGATTCAAATAAAGGAAAATTTTTAAAATTTATAAATTTTATTAATTTTATAAAACTATATTTTATGAAAACTAAAATAAACAGGGTATGATAATATTAGTGTTTTCAACAGTACAAGTTGAAACACATTATACACTTCACAGCTAATTGCTGTAGCCTATAGTACGTAGAAAATTGTTGTCTACTAACTGTGGAGGTATTTAGGTAAAGATGTATCATTATGACTAAATCTACTACATATCCTAGGTATCGATCGTTTTTCTTGAAAATCTAATAAAGATTATATATTCTTATTTTACTCGTGTTATTCTCATGTTATTCTTGTTATTATGTTACATGTGTATGTTAGCGATAATGTATGAAATTCCGTAATTCTATCAAATAACTAGTTATTCTATAGAATTATGGGTAATTTCAGTTAATGTATTAAATGAATCCATAAATACATACTCCAACTAGTAATTCTACATCATAACTAGATGTTTTATAAACTAATAATAAGGGTTTAAGGTTAGTTGATGTATTTAAAACAATTATTATATTAAATATAAATATTAATTTATTTTACGTCAATCTTAAACAAATTACAAATACTCGTAACAATAAAAAATCATTAGTTATCAATAATTTTTTATAATAGTATTATAAACTTATTCTATTATTATATAAGTAGTTACAGTTATTAAATTATTATTTTTTTTTTTACAATTTACAATTTATTTATCAGTAGTTTATTATTAGTACATGAACTTTTTGGATGACATTTAGAGTTACAAAGTAAATTATTTTTTAAACATATGCACCGTTTTGTGGTGCGTTTTTTTTTTTTTTTTTGACATGTGTATTTGAAAAACCCATGACCATTACCTAGTGATTGGGATTCGGGTGCTTTTCGAAGACAAATATCTACATTTGGGACGTCATTAAGCGTAATAAATTTTTTTGCATAAAAAATAAATTGTGACCTCGCGTAAAGTTGTTTTACAATTTTTTCACTTACTAAAAAATCATATTTTTCTTTCAGCAAAAACGTGCTGTTATTGCGTTTTTTTTTTTTTTTGTTGTATTTTTTATAATTGTTTCAAATGTAATTTTCATTATAAATCACAATTTAGTTATTACACTGTATCACTGAAAATTATCAAACTAACTAGTAGGTAGAATCGTGGTACACTGTCATACGTATAAGTCTAGTCTACGCCGAATGGTGTGGTTCATTAATATCGTATCTTATGGTATTTATTAATAAAATGACAACGGCAATAAATCTTGTATTTTATCTAATGCAGTTCCGGTGCTCTATCTAACGATAAAAATTTCATTCATTAGTGAAAACCCCCAATTGATATTCTTTATATTAACTTGTAAAACCGAGTAATTTATATATTAACATACATATTTAGGAATTTTATAAAATTACTAATTATTTAATAAAATAACGTATTACATACATTACCGCTAACATATATGTATATTTTATTCTATGTTTATTTTATCTTTTATTTTCGTAACCAACCAAAAAATGAAATTAAAATTACACACATACTCGTATATAATTTAAATTTTCAATAAGATGATAAAACGGATAAAAATTTCATTTTGATCATTTTATTATGATTTAAATAAAAGAAATAAAATTATTATGATACCCCCACCCCCAAAAACAAATTTTTAGTAAATATGTCACTATATACCGTATCCAGGTTTTATGACATTTCAAATATTATACATACATATGTACGAACAACAGCTGATCGATGTTCGATACATGTTAATGTAAAAATGATTGACTATCAAAAAATACAGCTCGAACACAATTTAGCGACTAAACCGACCGCCTAGTTTTAAATCTCGAATTATACACAAAAACCAAAATACATTAGTGAATATATTTCATAATTTAAGAGATATAAATAACGTTTTTCGTAACTAGGCTAAATATAATATTAACAATATAATTACATAAATATATGTATATATATTTATTTATTAATATTGAATTGTACGTATTGTTAAATGTTATATTTCAGAAGAAGAGACGAATTTTAATTGACAATTATTGAATTATTCTCAATGACCACGAGATAAAATGTTAATTGTAAATAATAGAACTACAAGTAAAGGATTCCTAAAATGTACGTTTATATTTAATCATACATTTCGCTTCAAACCGACTCATTGTGATATTATGTAACAGCGGTACAACTAAGACGATAAACGAACAACATGCCTTCTGACGTCGCAACGAGAAACATGATGGACGACCATCATGTACATTACAGTTATAGACCGGATGGTTGACGATTCCGTGGCAGCAGTGTCATCAGCCGTTTACTTATACATGATGATGAAAAAAAATAGTTGTAGAATGTATACTCACGTACGGAAACAATTAATTTACCAAAAATCAGTATTATCTACTGACTCTACTGAGTATATATACTACAAGAGTAGTATAATTATAGTTTTAATATGGTTGATTCATTGTTTGTTATTTATAAATAATGTTTGCCGGGGCGCATCACAATCCGATATATAATTTACTCTGCCAATTACTTTATAATAGAAAATCTATGACTGTAAGATAACCATTAATTTACATTAATTTGTTTTTGTCATATTGCAACGATTTAGATGTAATGTTATAATTAGTGTTGGGATTTTGATGCAAATACATCTTTTTTCTGATGTCCCAATACATAGGTCCTTTAAAAGAAAATATGCTTCAAGTGACACTGATTAATTTAAATTAGTTTTCATTTTGCACTTTTTTGAATTGTATGCATTATATGCGTTTTTATAACATATTTTGCTGTTTTTGAGGCAAGTTTTTAGAACATTTTTCAGAATTTATCCATACCTTTTTAAATATTAGGATATTTGATTATGCGTTTCATT